ATTGCTCTTGGGAAGAGCTTTATTAATAGCCAAGCTTGCACACAGCCACAGACACTTGCAGGGATGCAATTTAGATCGATCTGCAGTCAGGCTGGGTGCTCCTGACTGAGCAGGCAAGTCTTCCCAGCTCCAGTGCAAAACAGTGCAAAATAACACAGGGAGTTGGGAACATCACAGAGATGGTCAGGATTCAGCCTATTTGATGGGTTTGCAATGTCAGAGCAGCCCTGTGCCCGCTCTGGCCAGGCTGCTCTTCAGGGCATTGCACCAAAACCAGGGGCTGGGATCAGGCTTCCTGAGACTTGCTTTGCCTCCAGTCAAAACAGCAGGACGAGGACTGATGGAGGCCTTTGCAAGCTCACTGAAGGCCCATTGCAAACTCACTGCAAACCCATTGTAAACTCATTGCAAACCCAATGCAAGGGTGTGTTGCCAGTTCCCTGTATCCCACCCATTGCAGAAGACATCCGAGACCCCGGCCCACCAATCCGCATCTCCATCTTTTTATAAGACCAATACTGCCAGGGAGGCAGAGGCTTGGCACAGCCACCAGCAGGCTCTGCCCACTTTAAACAACCCCCAGGGCACCAAATCTGCCCTTTCTCCATGTGAGCCTTGCCCAATGGGATCCAGGCTGCACAAACAACATGGATCAGCCTATGACCTGGCCAGGAGTTTGTTAAATCCAATGTAATTTAGAAAATAAAAAAAAAAAGATGGGGGAGAGAAGGGATGAATCCTTCCTGCAGTGCAGCTGTGCTCCTGCTGCCAGATGTTGGAAGAACGATGGAGAAAGAGAAAATAAAAGCCATTTTTCCTGCATCCCACCACTTGCAGAACTCCAACCCAACCCAGCCGGGTCAGCAGAGCCCACCGACAGCCTCGCCAGGCCTCGTTAGGGCTCATTAACGAAGCGTCAGTCTCGCCACAGTTGCAAGGGCTGCTGGCCTGAGCTGTCAGTGCCCATTAGGAGCTGGGTCCTATGGGCTGGGAACGGGACAGGGCTGGGAGGATCAAAGGCGGTGAGTGTCCGGCTCCAGTGGGGCAGAATAATTTAATAGAGAGGCTTACCCAGGTTTTTTACAGTGTATTTTTTTCTTTGCTCTTACCGGTGCTGACTCTGCCCATAAATCTTTGCCTCAGCCCCTCTGCTGCCCTCTCCCTTCCCAGTTGCACCACAAGGCAAAACTACTGCAATTTTTGTTTCCTGTTCAACCCGGAATCATTGGCAAAACCGACATCTCTGCTTTCAGTGCACCTAAAGCCTGCTGCTAGCTGGCAGGGGAATGGCAAGGATGGGGTTCATGGGCAGCAGGCAGCCACAATCCCACAGCACTGTGACCCTCCGCAAGCCTCTTCCCACCATGCAAGCCCCTGCCCAGCCTTGGTGCCCATTATCCAGTACTGCAACCTCAAGGTGTTCACATGCACCAATGCCGAGTGCCCCGCCATGCACACAGGTGCAGAAACATCCCCAGGAGTGCAGGGCTCATCCTGCTTCCATGTGCTGGAGAAAATTCACATAGCATCAGCCAGGCTTTGTCTGACCCGATGCAATTCCTGCCACCTCGCTGCATATCCCGACAGCACAGGGTTGGGATGTGTATCAGCTCAACTGCGAGCAAATGAGAACTGCTTGCTCCAATGTGGGCTTGTGAATATTCATGGCGAGGAGAAGATGGGGCAATGATTTATATGGGTAAAAGAAGGCTTTAATTGCAGTGAGATTAAATCATCACTCCAAGGAGGATCAACATGGCTAAGCCTGGAGTGATTTGGGACGGCGAGCGGGGCTGGAGCAGAGGCGGGAGCTGACACCAAGTGGATGGAAGCTGAAAGTTCTGCTCAGTGATGGCAAACAGGAGGTTTGAGTTAAAAGCTGGGGGACTGCAAGAAAACTCTCCAGCTGTCAGCAGATCTCACAGCCCACCAAAGTCGTGCAAAAAAAAAATAAATAAATAAAAAAAGAAAGCAAAAAAAACCCAAGTTTTTTGGCTGTGCAGAGCCCTGAGGGCAAGCTTTCCTCTCCCACAGCCTATCCTGCAGACATTCCAACCACGCACTGAGTTGGAGCACCCCCAGAAGAACTCCCAGGGGGGGCTTTTCTCAGTGCCCAGCCCCACAGAGCCCTTTCGGAGCCAGTATTTGCCAATCTCCCCCCAGAAGAGCTCCAAACCCCAGCGGGATATCCGCTCCTTCCAGCCCCCTGCCGGGACCCAGCACAAGCCAGGGACGGAGGCGTCGCGCAGGAGGAGCTGCGTCACCAGGCGATTTCCTTTGGAAAAATACCTGCATCCAAGGTGCAGAAATACAACAAAACCCAAAATGTGACAAGGCACGCTCATCCCCTCCTCTTGCCTTCTCGCCAAGGCTCTGCTGTCTCTGGACTCCTTCCAACAGCCTTCCCAGAGGGTGATGCTTTGGGAACGCGGGGCCTGACACTGCTTTGGGGATGCCACTAGCACCTGCCGAGTGCTCAGGGGGAAAGAAGCTCAAAGGGGAAGAAGTTCAAAGGGGAAGAATTTGGAAGCGATTTGCTCCAGAAAAGACGTCAGGGGAAACACAAACCCTAGGAGGAGAACGGTGATCCCCACGGGAGGATGTTCCCCAGGGCTCACGAGGGGAGGGCAGGGCGTTGGGAGTCAGACAGCAGGGCGACAGCCCTCTTAAAGGAGGACAAGTGGTGCTCAATGGAACCGGGCCGCGGCGGCACATCTCTCCACCGCTGCAGCAGCCCGCATCAGGGCGGGCACGGGGGCACCCCAGGATGCTCACAGGGAGACAGGTCCACCCAGAAGGGCTTTTTGCCCCCCCCTGGAGCTGACATGCTGCCCTGCGAAGCTGCCGGGCAGCGGGATGCCGCGGGCCCACCCAGGGGCTGCAGGTAGGCGGATGTGAGGCAGCTCCGGCAGCGGGCCCCGCTCACATCACCAAATATCCGGCCCCATTGTTCGCGGGGATGCGCCGCGTCCGTGCTTTGTTCCCCCCGGCACCCGCGCGCCTTTGTGTCCGCACAAATATTTGTGCCCTCCGAACCCACGCGCGGGCAGCGGGAGGGACGAGCGGCCCCCAAACGCGTCCGGAGGGAAATTTCCAAGTGGAAACCCAGCCCTCGGCGCGTCCCAGGCTGAATGGCCGCCCCGCTGGGTGCAGACAATGAGCAGTCGGGCTTTCAAGCTGTTCCCGCCCGGCTCCCCGGTGCGAGAAGGGAGATGGCATCAGGCGCAAGGCCTGGCCCAGTGCTGGGCCTGGTGCTGGCTCGGTTCTAGGCCCGGTGCTGGGCTTGGTGCTGGGTCCTGTGCTAGGCCACGCCGCACATCTTTGAGCACAGGGCCACATCTCCGTGCCGCCCCGCACCCAGGGTGCAATGCATGCAGCAGTGGCATCGCACAGCGCAGCGGTGGGGATGGCGGGCATGGCGTGAGGACAAGACAGGCCTGCTGCTACGCCCAGGCTGAGTCACTCCAAGCACAAGGCGACCGGTACCAGAGGGACACCAACCCTGTGCTGCCACGTGCCTGGCATGGCGCGGCCATCTTGCTCCCGGTGTCCACACTGGTGGTGGCCTCACGAGTCATCTCCTTTTTGGGCTGAAAAGCGTGCGGTTTGGGACACGTGCTGCTATGAGACTGTGGCAGCCTGTCCCCAGCACATCCCTTGGGGACCGCACCCCCACTGCTCCTCACTGCCCAGCGGTAGTTGTTGGCTCCCTGCATAGGAAAAGGAACCAAAAAAAAGGGAAGAAAAGGGATAATGCTCAGCCCCATTCCCATCCCCACCCCGCAGGCTCCATCGCAGGGCAGTCATTGCCCTCTGGTGCCTCCAGCCATGCAGCCCCAACGTTCCCCAAACACCGGGCAACTCCAATCCCAAGCCCTGAGGGTTGGTGGTGCCCCCAGGTGTGAGCAGCACTGTTGTGCCCGAGCACCAAGGGCACACTGCGGTCACAGCCGACCCTGAGCCCCATCTGCAAACCTTTGTGTCCACCTGCAAGCTCCCAGGCCCTTCCTGCAAATCCATGCATCTTGCAGCAGACCCAGGCCTCTCGTGCACACCTACAAATCCCCTTTACAAACCCACCTGCAAATCCTCCACATGCAAACCACAGGGTCCCACTGCACACCCAGAAGCCCTTTAGGAGCACTGTGGTTGCATGCACTGCTCGCGGCCTTTGAGGCTCCATGCTTCCAGGGCTACCATCATTTTTGCAGATTTGCTGTATGCACCTCATTTTCCACAAGTTTGCCATGCACACCCTGCTCTTTGTGGGTTTGCACCTTGAGCCCCACCTACCCCATCTTTTCCACTCTTCCCCTTGGCACCCCGTTTTTTGCAGGGTTGCTGTTTGTACCCATTTCTTTTCCCGCTAGCTTCTTGCACCCCGCTCCCTGCGAGACCATCTGCACTCCTTTCCACATTTGCAGCCCGCACCTCATTTCTTGCTCTCTCGTGCTCACACTTTGCACGCCTGCTTTTTGCACCTTGCAGGCTTACCTCGGGCCCTTCGCAAGTCAGCTACCGGCGCCCCGCTTCGTGCACACGCCCTACTCGCACCCCGCTTTGCTGCAGGCTGCACCCCCCCCAAACCCCCTCCAGACCCACCGCACACACCCGCCCCCCCCCCCCCCCCCCCCCCCCCCCCCCCCCCCCCCCCCCCCCCCCCCCCCCCGCGCCCTAAGCGGTCGCCGTTCCCATTTCCGGCCCCGCCCCGTCGCGGGGCAGCGCGCGGGCAGCCCCGCCCCCGTTGCCATGGCGCCCGGCCCCCCCTCCCCTCCCTCCCCGTTGCCATAGCGAGCGCGAGCCGCTGGCGCGGGGGGCGTGGCCGGCGGGCCGGCCCATTTTCCGATTGGCCGCGCGGCGCACGTGACGAGCGGCGGAATGCAAATGAGCGATGGCCGCGCCGCCGCCCGAGGGAGCGCCGCACCGCCCCGGCGGGAGGGAAGCAGGCCACGCCCCTCCGAGCTGACCACGCCCCTCCCCGGTAGCCCCGCCCCGCCCCGCCCCGCCCCGCCGGCCCGCGCGGCCGCAACCCCGGGAGGCGCCTCCGTCATGGCCGGCGGGAGCCGGGCCGCGGGGCCGCAGGTACCGAGCGCCGGGCCCCGCCGCTTTGTCTGGGCCGCGGGGGGGCGGGGGGGCGGGCCGCGCACGCGTCTGGGTGTCGGGTGTCCGCGCGTCCCGGCCGCGTCCGTGCCTCAGTTTCCCCGTCGCCGCGGGGGGCGGGGGGAGAGGCGGACGCACCGATGTCCGCCGTGCGCCCGGCCCCCCTCTCCGTGCGCACACTGCCCCGGGCGGGGGCTCCGCCCGGACCCGCGCGGCCGCTCCACGTGCGGCGGTGGGAGAACCGAGAGCCGTCCGGGGCTGCGGGGGCACCGCGCGCCGCTCCGCTCTGCTCCGCGTGGGGTTCGAGGCCGCGGAGCCCCGCCGTGCGTGTCACCGCCTCGCCGCCTCCCTGTCCCTCGCACGGGGACGAATGCGGACCGGCGGGGACGCTTTTCTCGCTGCTCACGGCTCCGTCGCGACCCCACGCGTGAGGACGCCCCGATGCCGCCGGGATGTCACGGCACAGCTCACGGATAAAGCCACGGCCCACGCGTCCAAACCCTACGGCGCTGAGAGCGGAGCACGGCGGATGTCACGGCCACGCCGCGGGCACGCGGCCACCGGCGGGCATTTCGGCAGCCACCTCCGGCGTGCTTCTCCGTCCCACCCGTGCGCGTCCTCCCGCCTCGCCGGCGCAGCAGCGCCCTCCGGGGATGTGGCCCCGTGGCCTCACGTCGTTGAGCACGGGGACATCGCGCTGCCACGTCCTGCTGTCCCGCTGCTGGCGCCTCGTGCTGTGTTTGTCCCTGCAAGACTGTGGCGTGGCCACCGGGGTCACCTGGCGTGGCCACCAAGACCACCTGCTGTGGGCACCGCGGCTGCTGTCCATGGTGGAGCGCCCGGCGCTGCTGTCCCTGGTGCTGGCCGTGGCACCCAGCGTGGTGGCACCCGCCATGGTGGCACGGGGCCTTGGGTTTCTTGCTGGTTATTGGAGGTCTGTGAGCACATGTGGGAGCAGCAAAGCCTGGGTGCCCACAGAGCCATTGGGTGCTGGTGCGGCCTGGCAGTGTGGGCACGGCCCTTGCTGGCAGTGGTGGTGGTGGTGGCGGTGGTGGTGCTCCTGCTGCTCACCTCCAACCCCAGTGGCACTCAGCATGCGGCGCTTCCCCTCCATTCCAGTCCTTCTCCTTCTATCCCTCCATCCCTCTGTCCTTCCCTCACACCCCTCAACCCTTTCCTCCTACCCTTCCCTTAGTCCCTTTCCTCTTCTCGTCCATCCTGTTGGCCATCCTTCTGTCCCTACACTCCTTTCCTTCTTCTGTCCTCCCTTCTGTCCATCTTTCCTTCCCCCTTATTCATTTCCTACTTCTTTCTGTCCATCTTTCTCTCTCTCCTTTTGTATTTTTGTCTATCCATCCATCCTTTCACACCTACCTACTTCCTTCCATCCTTCTGTCATCTTTCTGTCCACCCTTCCCCCCCTTCATCCCTCTACTTCCCTTCATCCCTCTTTGTCTACTTTTTCATCCGTCTGTTCATCCTTCCCTCATTCTTTTGCTTTCCTGTTCCCTTCATCCTTCCCTTCTCTTGTCCGTCTCAATGTTTGCATTCACCTTTCCATCTGTCCTCCTTCCCTTCCTTTGTCCTTCCTTCCATCCTTCTCTTTCTTCCTTTGCTCTGTCGTTCTCTCCCCCCTTGTCCTCCACCCCTTTCCTAATTTATTCTGTTTGTCCTTCTGCTCATCCTGTCCCTCTATCTTTCACTCTTACTTCTTTGCTTCCTTCCATCCTTGCTCCTGTCTCTGTCCTCTGTCCCTTTGTCCTTTCTTTCTGTCCCCTCATTCCTTCCATCTGTTCTACCTTCCCTCCCTTCCTCTCTTTCCATCCTCTTTTGTTCCTTCATCCCTTTTCTACCTCCATCCATCTGTCCTTTCTTCCACCCATCCTTCTATCCATCCCATTCATACTTGTGTCCCCATCTGTCTGTCCATCTTTCCCTCCTGCCCTTTGTCCTTTCCCATTTCCTTCTTTCCTTCCCTGCCTCCCTTCACCCTTTTCCTCCTTCCGCTCTTCCTGGTTGCACTTCCCATCCATCATTCTGTTCATCCTGCTTCCTTCTGTCCTTCACTTCCTCCCCTCCATCCCTCTCCTCCATCCTTCCTGTGTCTGTCCATCCATCCTTCTTCCCCTTCCTGAGGATTTGAAGTGCTGCTGTGTGCTGGGCACGGGTAGGGGTGGGCCGGGGGCACGCAGGGCTGCTCCCATCTGCCATCCTCATTCCCCCCAACCCACAGGACCCCCACGCCCACCTCCACACTCTCCCCCAGCTCTAGGCCACCCCAGACACCCCGCGTGGCCCTGCCACCACCATGGAGAACGAGCAGCTCCCGGCACCTCCGCCCTCCAGCAGCGCCGGCGGCACCAGCACGACGCCCAGCAGCACCGGCACCGCGCGCCCACCCGCACCACAGATCTCCGTCTACAGCGGCATTCCTGACCGCCAGACCGTCCAGGTAGGGCTGTGCTGCACACCCTAATCCTACCCCTCACCCTACAAACGGGGCTGGGGTTGGGGTGCTTGGGTCTCCCCTTGGGTTTAGAGCAGGAATGCTGCATGCATTTGGAGGCTCTGGATACAGGGTGAGGCTTTGGGGTGTCGCGTCCCACGGTCCCGCTGCTTCCTGCAGGTGATCCAGCAGGCCCTGCACCGGCAGCCCAACACGGCAGCGCAGTACCTGCAGCAGATGTATGCTGCGCAGCAGCAGCACCTGATGCTGCAGACGGCCGCGCTGCAGCAGCAGCACCTCACCAGCGCCCAGCTCCAGAGCCTGGCGGCCGTGCAGCAGGTATACCCCCCCCCGGGGGTCACCCATAGGTGCCGCAATGCAACGCGCACGCAACGCTTTGCTCCCATCCCCAGGCCAGCCTGGCAGCCAACAGGCAGAGCGGCTCCTCTGGCAGCAATGGCACGCAGCAGGCGCCTGTGCAGCAGCCCACGGTGAGTCCCCGGCTCGCCGGGAGCACCCCGCAGCCCCCACCCCGGCCCCAAAACCCACTGTCCCATTGCAGATCAACCTGGCCACGTCGCCAGCAGCAGCCCAGCTCCTGAACCGGGCACAGAGCGTCAACCCCGGGGCGTCGGGCATCGCACAGCAAGCTGTCCTGCTGGGCAACGCCGCCTCACCTGCCCTCACCGCCAGCCAGGCACAGATGTACCTGCGGGCACAGATGGTAAGAGGTGTTCTACCCAACGGCTCTATGGGGCAGCTGGGAGCTGCTGGCTGGCCATCACTCTGCAGCAAGTTGGCCCAGACCCACAGGAAGCAGATGCTAGAGGGTCTCCTTTGCCCCACAGCTCATAGGGCGCCCATCGCTGTGCTGCGGGGTGGGCTGGATACATGCAGAGTCTGTCACTCCACCGTAGGGTAGGGTAACCAGAGCCTACAGAACTTGTGGGTTTCCTGTCACCTGGCTGTGGGGTAGCCAGGCCCTGTAGGGTGAGCCTGAGCTCACAGGGGCCCTTTGTGCTGCTGGGGGGTGCTTAGGTTTCCCAGGTTGCCCACTACTCCACCTTAAGGTAACCAGACCCAAAGCATCACCTGGCTGCAAGGTGCAAGGCCCCCAAGGGGGCACCTGACTCCATAGGGTGAATATTGCCCTGCTTTGAGGTGCCCTGGCCTTATGGGGTGCCCAAACCTGCAGGGCATGCTTCACCTTACTGTGAGGTGCCTAGATCCCATGGGGTAACCACACACTGCTCTGAGATCTCCTCCATTGAGTGCCCGCTGTCCCCATGCTGGGAGTGCCCAGACTACATGGGGTGCCCATCCTATGGGCTGTGTGGGCTTCTTGGGGTGTCCTCCCCCAGCAGGTGGTACCCAGTCCCCAAGAGATGCCCTGTAGAGTGTCCCTCACCCTCACTGCTTGGGGCCCACCCCAGCAGGGTACCCTCTGCTAGGGTAGGGGGGTGTCTGGATCCCATGGGACACCTACACGCTATGGGAGGGTTTGCCCAGACCCCACAGAGGGCCGCTACTCTGATATGGAGTGCCCAGACCCCACAGAGTCACCCAAGAGACACGGGGAACAGCAGCACTGAGCTAGGACATGGGCAAGTGTCCCGTGTGCCCCACACTTCTGCCATCGCACGAGGACATGGGAGCACTCAGGGTGCTCCCCACAACCCTCAGAGACAGACTCACCCTTCTCTCCCCGCAGCTCATCTTCACGCCCACGGGCCCCGTCAGCGCCGTCCGGCCCGAGAGCCCTGCACCTGTCCCACCGCCAGCCCCACCGCCAGCCCCACCGCCTGCCACCCCCCAGGTGAGCCCCCCTGCACCCCACATCCCCTGTCCTCCCCACCCCACTGACATGCTGCCATTGCAGGTGCACAGCCTGGCGCTGCGCCCCGCCGGCCCCCACCTCCCTGCCCTCGCCATGAAACCCCCTGGCAGCACTCCACGGGCCGGACCCCCCCGGGCGCCCCCACCTGAGAACCCTGGTGACCACCTCAAAAAGGCTGAGGGCCCCGATGCCCGCACCCACCCCATGGCCCGCACTGCTGCTGCCCCTGCTGCCGCCCACCCACTCGTCACCCCAGGTAAGGCACCGTGCTGGGGGGGGCTTGGACCATTATGTGCTGCAAAAGGCAGCAGGCGTTTACTCTGAAACCTAATGATGGCCCTCCCTGCTGTTTCCTGGGCACCCCATCTGTATCAGGGACCTGTATAGTGTACGGTGCCAGTGCTGGTGGATCAGAGGGGGAGGAGGTTCCTCCTCGTGGCTCAACTCTGGGGGTGAAGGCTGTCCCCCTCCCCAGCACCCACCAACCCCTTGGGGTTACCCAACTTCAGGGTTCTGCTGCTACCCCCCCGGGACAGCCTCACCCCAGCCAAGAGTGAATGCTGCCAGGGTCAGGAGCAGCCTCAGAGGGAGGGGACTCAGGGGTGGCATCACTGATGAAGCCTCTGGGCCTTATCCCCCCATTCCCACCCACAGCCTACGCCCCGCTGCAGCAGCCCCAGTTCCTGCAGCAACCACCGAAGCCGATGCAGCAGCAGTTTGTCATCCAGCAGCAGCAGCAGCAGCAGCAGCTGGCACCCCGTGGGCAGCACCCCTCGGGCCCAGCCGCCCCCCAGCTCCAGCCACTGCCCCCTGCCAGCCCCAGCCCAGCTCCCCCACCCAAAGCGGGAGCCCCCCATGGGACGGGGGCGGAAGGCACAGCCCCCAACGGTCACCCCGGCTGCTACGGGGCACCCCGCAAGTTCCAGCACGCCTCCGCCGTCATCCTGCAGCTGCAGCCGGCCAGCAGCACGGTGAGGGCCCCCCGGCCCCAGAGAGCAGGGGTGCTGGGGGTCGGGGTGCATGGGGGGCCCCGGTGTGCACTCGTGTGGGTGTGCTACGTGCTGTGTGCATGTCAGCTCTGTGCACGTGTGCAACCCTTGTGCCAGATCCACGTGTGCGTGCATGCACGGCTGGTGTACTCCTGAGCTACGCACGTGTTGCATGTGTGCATGACCTGTGCACCATTGCCTCCTCCGTGTCCAATTGTGCCACATGCATGTGTGCGCAATGGCCCACGCACAGCTGTCCACAGGGCTTATGCACCTGGACCGTGTTTGCACGTGTGTTTGCACTTGGCTCACACACAAGTATGTGTGTGCAAGCGCTCACAGGCTGCCTCCACGTGCACATTTCTACCTGTCCCACGTGCACGTGAGCGCATTCCTGACCTCTGCATGTGCGCGCCGGGCCCACGCACGCACGTAGCAGCGTCACCCAGACCGGAGCATCTGCGTGCACGCGCGCGCACCCCGCACACACACAGATGCCCCGCCCCTCACACCCCGCCGCCCTCGTGCGGGGCGCGCTCTCGCGGCGCTGACGCTGTCCCCGCCGCAGCCGCCGCTCGGTGCCGCAGAGGCCGCCCGCCGGGACGCGCCGCCCGCCGCCAGAAGTCCCCCCGCCGCCGCGCCGCCCGCCGCCGCCGCCGCCCCCCCGCCGCCCCCCGGCCCCGAAGCGCCGCAGGGGGAGCGCGCCGCCGCGCACGGTAAGCGCGGGAAACTGAGGCACGCGGGGAGCGGCGCCGCCTGGCCACGCCCCCGCGCCGAGGCCACGCCCCCCGCCGCCCCGCCCGCGCCCTTCCCGAGGCCCCGCCCGTCGAGCGGAGCGCGCGCGCGCGGCGGCGGCCAATGAGGGCGATGGGCGTGGTCACCGCCCGGCCCCGCCCCGCCCCGCGCAGCCGCCGCCGCCGCCCCGGCCCGGCCCGGCCCCGCTCCGCCTTTGTCCCCGCTCCGCCGCCGCCGCCGCCGCCTTTGTCCCCGCCATGGGGCCGCCGCGCCGCTGAGCGCCGCCGGTGAGTGCGCGCCGCCCCGCTCCGGCCCGGCCCGGTGGGCGCTGACCTCACTTCCGCATCCGCCCCCGGCCCGGGGTCGCCGCGGCCCGGTCAGGTGAGGCCCGGGCTCGGCGGCGGGGCCCGGCGCGGCCTAGGAAGGAGCGGCGCGGCCCGGCGCGGCCTAGCGGGCCCGGGGCGGCCCAGCGGGGCGGGGGCGGGCGGTGCCGCGTGGAAGCTGACGGTTCCCCCCTCCTCCCCCCTCCCGTTTCCCCCCTCCCTCCTCCGCAGAGCCGGGCGCGGAGCGCGTGGATGCGCCGCCCGCCGCCCCCGCCCCCGGCATGACCTCGGGCAGCGGCAGCGCTGCCTCCACCGTCGCCGGCGCCGCCCCGCACAATGGTGAGAACAAACCGCCGCAGGCCGTGGTGAAGCCGCAGATCCTCACGCACGTGATCGAGGGCTTCGTCATCCAGGAGGGCGCCGAGCCCTTCCCGGTACGTCCGTCCCCCCCTCCCCTCACCCCTCCCTCCCTAACGCAACGCGCTCCCCTTCCCCCCCCCCACCGCCGCCGGCCCCGCTGACGCCGCGGCCGCCCGCAGGTGGGCCGCTCCTCGCTGCTGGTGGGGGGCCTGAAGCCGCAGTATGCGCAGGAGCTGCTGGCGGAGCGCGCCCCGCAGCACGACAACACCACAACCACCGACTCCGAGATGGAGGAGCCCTACCTGCAAGGTGAGGCGGGCGCCCCGAGGTGGGAGCCCCGCGAGGACTCTGACCTGCCTCGGCTCAGCTGCCCGCTGCTCTCCCTCGGCAGTGTCCAAAGAGGAGGGGGCTCCCCCGAAGCTGAAGTGTGAGCTGTGCGGCCGTGTCGACTTTGCCTACAAGTTCAAGCGCTCCAAGCGTTTCTGCTCCATGGCGTGTGCCAAGAGGTACCGAGCTCCGACCCCCCACCCCGCGCCCTGCCCCAGCCCTGCTCTCACCCACCGACCACCCCCCCATCGCTGCCTGCAGGTACAACGTGGGCTGTACGAAGCGCGTGGGGCTGTTCCACCCCGACCGCAACAAGCTGCAGAAGCCCGGAGGGCCCCCCCACAGCCGCCGCCGCACCTGCAAAGTGCCCACGCTCAGCAAGGACACCAAGAAGCAGGTGAGGGGGGGGCGTGGATCCGACCCGAGGGGCGCAGTGAGCCGCGGGGCCGGTGCTGCCCGGTGGCTCCGTCCCGCAGACTCCGGTGTCCCTCCCGCCGGGCTCGGGGCCGCTCTCGGTGACGGCGTCGCTGCAGCTCAACCACAGCCAGGAGGACTCAAGCCGCTGCTCGGACAACTCGAGCTACGAGGAGCCGCTGTCGCCCATCTCGGCCAGCTCGTCCACCTCCCGCCGGCGCCAGGCTGAGCGTGACCTGGAGCTGCACGACATGGAGCTGCGTGACATGGAGCTGCCCGACATGCACGTGCGGGAGCTGGCAGGCATCGGGCACCGCTTCCTGCCCAGTGAGCCCAGCAAGTGGAACGTGGAGGATGTCTACGAGTTCATCCGCTCACTGCCGGGTGAGGAGCGTCGGGTCGCACCGTAGAGGGGCTCTGTTGGCTTTGGGTCTGTGCTGAGCGTGACCGTGTTGTGTTTTCCCTCCCCCCCCCCTCCACCCTGTAGGCTGCCAGGAGATTGCCGAAGAGTTCCGTGCGCAGGAGATCGACGGGCAGGCGCTGCTGCTGCTGAAGGAGGATCACCTGATGAGCACCATGAACATCAAACTGGGGCCGGCCCTCAAGATCTACGCCCGTATCAGCATGCTCAAGGACTCCTAGAGCCGTGCTGCCGGCTCACACGGACGCTTCCGCCGGGTGGGGAGTAGGGGGGACAGACCCACGCCCCCCCCTCAGCCCTGCCTGTCCTGGTTGGGAGGGGGGGGGAGGAAACCTATCACTGAGCACAAACAGCCCCGGGGCAGCCCCCCCTCAGCTGCAGGGTGTGTACATATAGCCCGTAGCGATAGTGGCCCCACTGTGGCAGGGAGCCCCCCCGGCACGGCGGGGCACAGCAGGATGGTTGCCTTAATGCGTGGCCCCGCCGGGGCCCGGCTGCCCGCCCTGGGGTGGGGGGAGGGCATGGGGGGGTGCCTATAGAGATGGCACTGCCCCTGGCAGGGCTGCTCCAGGGGCACCTCAGTAAAGGATGGAGGTGGTGGGGGCTTGATACCCCCAGCAGGTAAGGACCCCCCCCCCTCAGCCCACACCGCTGCTGTCAGCCGCCACGGTCTTTCTAAGAAAAGGAGGAAAAAAGAAAAAAAAAAAAGGAAAAAAAACACAGAAACCACATCCCCTTTTTTTCCCCCGTTTTTGTTTCTAATAAACACTGAAAAAGAAAACTGACCCCCCCATATTTTGCCTCCTCCTCCCACACACCCCCATCTCTTCTGGGTAAACTGAGACACATCACAGTGTCCTGGCACAGGGCTTTGTGTCACCTCCCACCCCCCCACTGGGACAGCCCTATCACGCACTTGGCTGCTGTGTGCTGCTGGTGGCTGCCCTGGGGGGGTACTGCTACCACTGGGACACCTTTTGTTTCCTTTGTGCCCCAGAGTGTCCCCCCTGGCCCCACATCCCTGCTGGCACCCAGAACCCAATAGGCACCCAGAGGTGAGACTGAGGAGTGGTGAGGTCCCCGTGCCCAGCACTGTGCCTGGCTGGGGGCCCAAAAGCTTTGGGGGGTGGTGGGGAGGTTGGGGATAGCATCCCTAGAGCCTGTGGCCACAATGGGGAGGAGGCCCTGGAGCTGGTGCCATGGCAGTGATGCGTCCCTGGAGACGGTGGCTGCGGAGACACCGTTCCGAGCTGGGGGCCCCGGTGTGGCGTCCTCGGAGGTGGTGCTGCGGTGGTGATGCGTCCCGGTGCTGGTGGCACCGTGACCTGGTGCTCACACCATGACATCGCCCCGGCAGCGCCAGCTCTCCCGGAGCTCTTTACCTCCCCTCAGCACAGCGGAGCTTCTGCCTCCCCCAGCACTTCATCATCCACCATCCCCACATCGGGGGGGTTTTTTGTGGACGCCCCCTTCCCAGGTGCCTCCTTTGTCACCGCGCTGCCCCTCGCCCCGTCCCCCCATCCCCGCAGCAGTGGCACCACACAGAGCCCATCGTTTGTTTCCTTTTCTTTTATTCTTTTTTGCTCCGAAACGGGCGCTGCTTTGCGGGGGGCCGGGGGGGGGTCCCCGCTGTTTCCAACCGCCCGCAGACGCTCCGTGTGGCCACGGCCCCCCCGGCTTCTCCATGAGCCACAATGCAAGACAGTGG